TCTCAACATCAAACGAAATCATTATCAAGTCAATGATTATAACTTTGTATGTCCCTAAATTAACAATCTCAAAACATTATTGTTAGATTAATATCTTATCATTTCCTGACTTCATGGGTGAGGATATTATCACAAGGGTTGGGTGCATCCTTAGTTGTAAACCCAAGTGATAAAAGAGGTTATTTGCAAACTCAGACTCTTTAAATTTGAATTTTGATAATTCGATGTTTATGAAATTACCTTTAACTGGACCGAAAAAAAATTAGCCAACATTAATTTAACTAGACCGGAAACACAATAAATTGAATTAGTCAAATGCGTACCCTATTTGAACGCCGTAGGAATTTGAAATCATATAATAGAAACGCCGTTTTGTTTCATTTTCCACACAACCAAAAAGTCAATGAGCATGTTAGAACTTGCGGGCGAACATGATTTTTCTTTTCTTTTGTCCGATTCCTAAGAAAATGATTTTCACTGAAACCGGACGAATATGTTTTTTTTTTTCCACCGGTCACATTTGACAATGCTGTTCCATCTTGACGGCTGATTATATCTCCTGTGCAATGTTATCCCTATAATTCAAGGATTTAATTTAAAAAATTAATAAATTGTTATCGTTAATTAATAGTGGATCTGAGCTTTTTGAAATTGACTAGTCAAAATTTAATTGGGTCAAGCCCAATAAAATAAATAAGTCCAAGTCAACTAAAAGACAGGTCAAACTCAATTTGTGAATTCTACTTAATCTAAGATCTGAAGAATCCAAAAAGAATTACAGCATGTGGGGAGGAATCATTGGGATACATACCATCGAGGACCGAGACTATCTTAATTGTACTTATCTTTTATAACTATCATCTTCAAAGAATTAATATGCTCACACTCACATCACCACCTTATCATGCTTATAAATTGTAAGTCCTCTCCATATGAAAGGACACATTTTGGTATCTCACAACGGCTCTCTACAAATCCTTACACACATATAGCTTCTATCTCTTAGTTATTGTATCTCTTCCGGAACTAACCATTTCTCTCTCCCTGTACACCCTATTTCATCAATAAAAACCTCCTGGCCACCGTTATTGTTTCCCAGAGTGCAGTAGATTACTCGGACTGAATTACTATATATCTGTGTGTTAACCCGATATTTACTGTTTTGTCATTGATTACTTTATTAATTGTTTTATTTGTTATACTACATCACATACTCAACTGTTGATCTTGTGCGAGACCAATTTGTGCATCATCAGAACGGGTATACTAAAATTTTAATAATTATAATACATTAGGCATATAAATTAAGTACGAATAGTATTATGAATATCTTTTGCACAACCTTTTTTTTTAAGCTAAAGCACACGATTTGACAAACAATAATGCTACATATTTTTATTTATTTTATTAACCTAATTCATTCTTTGGACCATTAATAGATCCTAACTAATATTATGGGCTACTATAAATGCAATGATAAAAAAAAAACTACAAATTAGATGGATAAATTAATTCGAAATCGATTACTCTTTTACATAATGCATGTCTTTCTGATGCAATTTGATATCCAAATCTCTTCTAATATTTTTTTCACTCTTTTTTATGAGATTGTACTCTCCTCTGGCAATCCTCAAGGACCACGGCCATTGATTTGTAAGAAGAACCTTCATTGCTCAAAGCCTTCTCTGCACTGTGTTTCAGTTCTTTGACTCTATCCCTCATTGCCTTCCCTTCTGTGTACTGCATTAAGGTCCTCACCATCTTCTCTATCTCTTCCCTTCCCACTACTTTCTTCGTTGGCAACACTTCTGGCCGGACGGCGACGCCCAGCTCCTCCGTCAGCATGGTGGCGTTCAATCTTTGCTCAGCGTAGAGCGGCCATGCAATCATTGGGATGCCACTAGCTATGCTCTCCAAGGTGGAGTTCCAGCCACAGTGTGATAAAAATCCTCCAATTGATTGATGACTCAAGATTTCCACCTGTGGGCCCCACTGTGGGATCAACAGTCCAACGCTGTGGGTCCTAGTCAAGAACCATCTGGTAAGTAGTCCAGGGTGCCATCAGAACCGTTCCCTACGGTGAAAAATGACCCATCGGCACCACCCTCGGTGGGTGGACGCACCACCCAAACAAACCTCTGCTGGCTCATTTCCAACCCCCAAGCCAACTCATTGATCTGCTGAGCGGACAATGTCCCTCCACTCCCAAAGGATATGTAGATCACTGACTCACTTGGTTGCACGTCAAGCCACTCAATCAGCCGACTCTTTGAACCGGCAGGTTCAGCCGGTCTTCTTAGAGGACCGATGTCGTAAACCGGTACCTTCACTACTGCCCGCAAGATTCCATTTTCTCTCAGAGCTTTGAGTGATATAGGCTCCAGATCTTCCCACGTGTTCAACAAAATCCCATCAGACAGCCTGAACTCGATCCCTAGCCGTAGGTACTCACGGTACTGTTCGTCGTTCCGATCCAGCATGGGATCAACCACATCTTCCGGTCGAACCGGCTTGCAACCCGGAATTTTCAGCGGCGTTCTTTGATCAACGTACTGACCTTCTATCTTCTCATCAAGAACTGGACAGTACGTAGTTAGAGCTGTAAACCATGCAGTTGAAGCAATATATACGTACTTGGGCATGTCAAACTCGTCGGCGACCGGCAACGCCTCAGTTCCAAACAGATCGACGATGAGGACATCGGGGCGAGGATTCATGGCGGCGATTGTGGACCGGAGGCCAGGAAGAACCGCTCGCATCATGATGCAGAGCTGTGTGACAATTGTGGTCTTGGGGTTCACTAGGCTAGAGATGTCTACCGGAGGGATTTCGATTATGTTGAGTTGATTCCGGTCAGTTAATGGTTTGAGAACTTTAGATTCTGCTGGTGATGAATTAGTTGCAGGCAGGAGGATGGTGATGTCAACGTTGTGGTGGCTAAGGAGTCGGTTGCCCAAGTTGAGGACCGGTATGAGGTGGCCCATACCTGGGCTTGATAGTATTGCTACATGAAGTTTTGAGTTTTCCATGGAGACCTGAGAGAGAGAGAGATGAGCAAATGATCGTGGATATGGAATGACTCTGGTTGAGCTTATATACAAGAGCAATGCAATTCAACTCCAGAAGTTAGGAAAAATTATTGGGTGTAATGGGAACCCGCGTGATCAGTGTGACGTGATATAAATATTCATAATCAGCTAAAACATAAGAAAGTGTTTATTATACTTAAAAAAAATTAATTTGATTTTTATAATTATTAAATAAAATAAATCTCAATAAATATTATGATCCATAATTAAGAGTGTGTTTAATATGATTTAAAAATAAGTATTTTTGAGACTTTTAATTTATAAAAAATATATTTTTTTTAAAAGTAGTGTTTGATTTAACTTATTAAAAACACTGTAAATATAATTTGAGCAAATAAATAAGTTAATAAAATAAAATAAAAATAATTAACTTGTAAAAATAGCTTCTCATTTTTTTCCGCTCCCCCGATACCTCTCTGCCAAAACCCTTCATGTAGCCTCTTTAATCTCGACGCCGACGACTGTAAGTTATTCTCTCAGCAGAGACAGTAGACAAGCGCCTGGTTGGTCTATCCCTCTTAAGCTGGGCGCTTCGTCTCCCTCTGACTTGCATGCTTGTTTCCTCTCGTTCCGGTGGAATCAAATGGAACAGAAATGGAGGTTTTTCAACTCGAGATTGCAGTTTTGTAGGAAAGTCCTTCTGATTGATGCCCACTATACCATAATAATCATCAATGGCACAAACTTTGAGTTTGGTTTCATTTGCCTCAAGTTCTGGAACCAGGATTTCACTTGGAAAATACGAAACATTTGTTTTGAGATCCTCATCCAGAATATTTTGTATCTGAGCTGTGCAAGACAATGAGGGGCCTCCTCGACGGCTGGTTGACATTATTCGAGTTGTGCCAGAAATCACTATGAAAATCACTATATTATTTTGGGGAAATAGTTTTTTTTTTTTTTTTTTGATCCATGATTATTATGAAATCACTATATTATTTTACTTCCATAATTCATTGCTCATTCTCACATTTAATTTAGAGCAAAACTGGACAGTTTGATAAAATGTTCATTGCTCATTCTCACATTTAATTTAGAGCAAAACTGGACAGTTTGATAAAATGTCCACCAACTGTTTGATAAAATGACTTACATGTGCTATGGATTTTTTCTTATGCTTAAACTGGTGCACTATTTTGTTAGAATGCCCTCAAACTGGTAAGTTTCCCTTTGATAGAATGCCCTCAAACCGGTGCACTAGTTTGTTCGACTTCAATTGTTTTTCATGCTGCTGCCATGTTAGTTTCCCTTTGCTGTGTTTATCTTACCTCCTTTCCCCTGTTTCTTTTGTCCACTCAGTTCTTTTCCTTTGTTTGAAAGTTTTGAAAAATTAAGAACAATGAAATTTTTTCTAAGTGTATTTGATGTAGTGTAAACCAAATATTTAACTTAGGAAGTTCTTGTGGTTGTACATACATTAACTTGTCTATTGGTACTCACCTTTTATTTTTATTTTTCCCTTGCCTGATTTCTTCTTATTTAAGTGCAAGAATTTTATAGTTTACATGTTTTTCCCCCTAATTTGTACCATTGTTTCACCTGTTCTTTCAGCAAATAATTGGAAGGGGAGATAGCAGTGAACTTCAAGCTTACACTTGAGTTCATTAGGAAAATTGTATCACTTAGATGGGAGAGTGTAAGAAATAAGTAATGCCGTCGTAAAAGTACTTGTGATGAGGATTTGTCATCACAATACTTTTTGAACCATTACTTATTACACAATGAATATTATCGCAAAGGTGTCAAAAAAAAAAAAAAAAACCTTCCTTGTAGTAATAATCAATTAGAGTGCCAGTTTGGAGTGTGAATTGTTTGACCATGTCTATCTTTATAATTTTATTCTTGAATGATTATACCATATCAATATTGTTGATATTGTGTAACCGTTACACCCAATGTTAACTCCAACAATCACCATAAATTAATTTAATTATGAGTCTCAATATTTATTAGAACACGCTATCTACTTTTAATGTTACACTTTACACGTATATACATACTTATATATGCACTTATATATATATATATATATATATATATATATATATATATATATATATATATATATATATATATATATATTAACAAATATACATGAATCAATGTGCATTAAATATTAAAGTTCTTTTATAAAATTATGAGATATTTAATGCACCATTTTTCCTAAAATAGATATTTATGTGTTTATATCTAACTAGTGTACCTTTTTTTAATATATTTTTTAATATGTACTTTTTATCAAATAAGTCTAATTTGGTACCAACTTCCAAAAACCCCAAGATTTTCTTCATGGATGTTACCCACCGGCACCAATTGATGGCTCTTTAATATGTTGCCTGGCAAAAAGTTTAAAAGGCCAGCACATAGAATCAACTGGCCCCTTTACTGACGTTAACGGGATAAGTAACAGGATAAGTTTTTTGAGGTCTAAAAATAATATTAAATTAAAATAATTTCAGTAACATTTTTTTAAATTTATTATGTTTTTAAGAACACTTTCTCTATTATCAAAAATATCATTGACAATCTTTTTCGTTTATATTCAAACATCAATGACACCTACTGCAATTAAACCATCATTTATAACAAAATTAAACTATCTCAAATATCAAAATTGTCGTTACCGACGTTAATAGGACAACTAACAGGATAAATTTTTGAGGTCTAAAAATAATATTAAATTAAAATAATTTCAGTCACACTTTTTCTAATTTATTATATCTTTAAGGAGACTCTCTCTATTATTAAAATTATCACTGACAATCTTTTTAGTTTATATTTAAACATCACTAAATTCTTACTGCCATTAAACCATCATTTATAACAAAATTAAACTATTTCAAATATTAAAGTTGCCCTTACATAAATCTTAAACAATTTTGTTTACATAAAATTTGATTAAAATTTGACTCGATTAAAATATTTTTACATATTAAGAATCGAATTGATTAAATTTTTTTATATATTTTAAAATTTGAATCGATTAAAATTCGATTCGATTCGAATTGATTAAATTTTAATTTTTTTTACGTATTAAAATTTGAGTCTATTAAAAGTCTTTTTTACATATTAAAATTCGAGTCAATTTGAACTCTACTCGAACTGTTAATCCTGATTAAAATTCGCTTCGAATTGATTAAGATTTATATTTTTTTTATTTATTAAAATTCTATTCAAGTTTATTAAAATATAATTTTTATGTATTAAAATTTGAGTCAATTAAAATTTATATTTTTTTTATGTATAAAAAATAAGGTCGATTAAAATTTAATGCGAGTTGATTAAAATTTGAGTTGAGCCTCGAATAGAATTTTAATCGGTTCAAATTTTAATTCGTAAAAAAATATAATTTTGTAATCGACTCAAATTTTAATTAGATTGAATTGAATTTTATTCGATTCGAATTTTAATACGTAAAAAAATTAAAAAATAAAAAAGATTTATTGAAGATATGTCTATCTAAAAAAGGTACGGATGAAATTTTTTATAAAATATATTATGGACAATTTAATAAAAATGTATTTTAATTAATACCTTTAATCTAACATGGGGTGTGATTGAAGTTTCAAAAAATAAATGAGCTTCTCTTGAAGATATGTCAAGGTGTGGGTGAAATTTTTCTTACGAATTTTATTAAGATGTAACGTACTCACTGAACCCATTAGGTGAGTAATTTTATTAAGATGTAACGTACGAATTTTATTTGTCTTTTTAATAAAAAATAATATCATTGGGACTAAAAAATTAAATTAAATTAAATTAATTTTGTTGAGATATAGAAGTTGATTTGACCTACTAATATTATATAACAATAATTTTGAATTTTTTTATTGGTACTATAAAACTTCAAATATTATAATATTTTTGAATTTTGAATTTTTTACAGGTAAATTTCAGGTTGAGTCTCCAGTCCAGTTGGAATCTTATCCCGAAAATACACTTAGTCAATTTTTGGATGCAATTTTTGGACGTTCAGTCAAGGGGGCAACTGATTCTATGTGCTGGACTTTTAAACTTTTTACCTGACAATATAGTGAAGGGTCATCATTTAATTGGATGCACACACCATGTGTGCCAAGCCGCCGGCGTGGTGTTCAGTACCCATGAAAAAATTTCTCGGGCGGAACTCCATTTGGTTATGTTTTTTTTTTTTTCCGCCGGTGGAACTAAATTTTGTTGGCTTTTAGCAAACCACAAGTTCTGTTTATACGACCGGAGCATCTATGTCGGGACAAACTGGAAAGAAATTTGATGTTGAGTTATGATATGCTGGTTGTTGAGTTTGGCTTGAATTAATTATCATATAGTATCTTCAAAATTTGGTTGATGTGTCTAAATTCTTATTTTGCAGTGTCACTTTGCTATATTTTCACCACAAACATATGAGCAATGCTATAATGATTTAATTTAAGGACTTAATCAAAGATATAATTATTGAATTAGTTATACAATAATGTTATTGAGACTTAAAAATTAACTTAATTTTTTTTCTTGTAAGTAAAAAATAACTTAATTTATTGATATAATAATGTGATAAGTGATAAAATCTAAAAATTACGGCCACAACAGCATTATTAGACCACATAACTGTCACATCATTAAATTAACAAATTAGGTTAATTTTTTACATCGTTATAGTGTTTACTTGTAAGATGTGTTTGATATGTGAAATTAAACCTTGGAATGAAATATTCTTAGAAAATGTTCATTCCTATGTTTGGTTGGCAAGAATTAAAATTCATTGCTATTCCCAAGGAAGGAATAGTGAATCCCACAGATCATGAGATTAGGCATTACCAAAGTTACAGTGGTATTTTTTATTTTTTATTTTTTTAAAGGTAAAATCTTGATAAGGTAAGGGGAAAATTGAGCAAAAGACCCGGTTACAGTGGTATTTTCCATTCCATTCTCGCCCCAGGTACGCCAAATCCTTTTGCCAAAAAAGAAAAAGAAAAACCGATGGATTCTTTCCCTTCTCGATTATTGGCTCTCGCTTCTCACATCTTGCTTTGCTCACTCTTCTTCCTAAATAATGCCCATGGCACTCCACCCCTCTCCTCATCCCTTACCATTCACTTTCTGCCTCTCTCTCGTCTATCTATGAAGCAAGGGGTCACACAGGCGACGAGGACCAGACTATATTAGCGTAAATTCGACCAATCTCATGTAAGTGATATGGAACTAGATTTTATGCATATGAAACCATTCATAATTGTAATTGGTGAATTATGATTCATAAGGGACCTAGTTTTTAGAAAAACTAGTGAAACATTTTATAATGCAGACTAGGGGTTTGTCAAAATGCCTGACATAAATAAAAGAGAAATTGACCTTTTTTTTTGGCTTCATGGGTGGTTACTGAGCTGGCCTTCAATTTGTTCAAATGTTGTTAGGAGCCGTGGGGACTTTTGGAGTGGCTGGTGTGCGTGCTCGATTTCGCACAATATAAAAACGAGAACAGATCTCTCCCTTAGTAAATTCGAGTGAATCAGTGGAATGGTCAACCACACTGCTTTGAACAGTCTGTGAGATCCTGTGGTAACCTGAAACGGTAATGGGAGACCCTCGTGGATCAAAGGAACGATCCAGTAAGGCTGAAGAAAGGTTCCTGGAACAAAGAAGAACAAGTTAGAAGGGCGCCGGAGTGTTTTCCTGCGTATCCCCTCCGACGATCAAGTCAGTCTTTGAGAGAGAGAGGAAGAAGAAAACACCGAGTATGTATTATAGCAAAGATTTTTTGTTGCATACCATCTTGTCTTTTGCGATGAGTATTTATACCTCAAAAACTCATGATTGTTGTCAGTGTAGTCAGTAGGTGATCATTAGGTACAG